CCGATTTCTTTCTCGTCGTTGCCGACCGCCTATGCACGGTCAGAGATTGGTGGACGCCACGTTCAGCCTTTTCCGCATCAAGAAATCCTACCAGAGGGAGAGCCACATGCAGGAGCTGTACAAAGTGATGTATGGCATCAGGTCGATGACAGACTTCAAGACGGCGTTGAGGCTCGACAAAGTCGCGGAGGCCGACGTAGTCAAGCTAGGCCAGCTCACGCCCCACATCCTCAGGGAAGCGTTGAACCACGCGTGGTTCCTCCAGAAGAGCGTGATGCCGATGGGCGCGGGGCCGAAGACGGAGCTGGAGAGGGGCTTGGAGGCCCAGCTGAAATCGCTCATCAAGCAAGGGACGATCACCAAGTACTGAGAAACCGATTTTCACAGACTGTGCGCGATATTGCGCACGACCCGAGGAGGCAGCAGACACTCACAGCGATGGCGGCAGGAGGGAGCGAGCATGCCAAGAGACTCTTGACACAAGTGAGAGAGTACAGGCAGGCGCTCCACAATCTGCTGCAATATGACAAGATTTCATGTGACGCCACCCCTGGTGGCAACGGCGCGCCTCCGTGAGAGGCAGCTCGCGCCGATCCCGATACTGAATATATTGGGGGAGGCGGCTTAGACTCAGGGGATCCCCCCCATCAGAGGGAAATCGCCCCGAGCCTTCGCACTCTCCCCCAAGTTACACTCGACTCCCTGGGGATCCTCCCCGCCGACGGGGCATCACGCGCGGGCGGGGCCCGCCGTGTCGCCTCATGCCGTGGCGGCCTGCGCCCTGCAGGCAGCCCAGCCTCCATATAGAACGGAGGGGCCACCCGAGCAGCTGCAGAGACAGACTGAGGGCCCCCAACTGAGCCACCACCACCACCACCTCTTCCTCCCTCCTCATCCCTCCTCGTCCTCATAATCTCCCCCCTGCTCATCTTCATGTTCATCCGCCGCACCCTCCAATTTATGTACACAGGTCCCTTTTTGTCAGTGCTCATCACACGGTGAGGCCACTTTGTGACTCCTGGTCCGCGGCGACATCCAGCGGCGGATTGAGAAAAATCAGAGCGCTGAGAAGGCGCAGGCGGTCATCGAGAATAGAAGAACCCCTGACCGTAATAACACAGTGAGGACGTGGCCTCACGGAGGCCCGTCTTTGCATTGGGGGTAATATAATTCTGGGCCGGTTGGTTCGACACGTCTGCAGAACGGAGCCCCATGCCCCTCCTGTGCTTGGCCCTCCTAGCTCAGGCCCCCTCCCAAAAGACGAGGGGTGCTTTTTGTGGTTTTTCAGGCGGGGGGGGGGGGGCAGGGGGTCGGACGCGGCGCGAACGCCCCGAGCGCGCCATTCTCCCCCTCCCCCTCTCGCCACCATCGGGGGGAGACTCACCGGGGTACTCTGCGAGCAGCGCAGAGGACCCGAGGGCACCCCGTGCGCCACCCGTCTCTGGGGCGCGCGCCTCCTCCTCCCAGCTGCGAGCCCGCCGTTTCCAGCGGCACTTGCAGGCAGAGGCCCGCGCCAAGGGCCGACCGACGTGCCCTGGGTTTCTCGGGCCGACCGACGTGGGTACGGAAAGAGTGGGTACAATGCCCAGCAGCAGTTCCTGCTCATTTTGAACAGGACTCGCTGCCCGCGCCGCCGCGACGCGTGTCTATTTGAGACAGAAGGCCGCTTGCCCAACAGCGGCCGCCGTTGGTTTGTGACAACATTTCTTGTTGGGCATTGTGCCCATTTTTCCGTACCATTTCGGGCGTCCAAAGTTTCGTCAGCTTCGACGGTTTTGCGATGGAAGGCGAGACGCTGCCACACCAGAAATCAATGGACGTCCTTGGGCCTCAGGGTTTGGTTCCCTGCGGAGGGTGTCCCGTGGTCGGGACCCTGGTGTACGATGGTGTGCGTTTTCCAGGCGCCGTCCTGTGCATCGCCAGACGCCTAAGGGCACTAGCGGGCGACTGGAGTTTTTCGCAGACAGCGTGCACCCCATAGCTTTACAACATAGCTTGCGCAGCATAGCTCGCACCACGTATCTTAGACACCCACGGTGGAACAGCGTACTGTTTGGAGTCTCCGTTGGCCAACACTCGTTGCACCAAGTGTTGCAACAGCTTCGAGGATGTACTGGGGTCTTTCCGAAAATGCGGTTCTCGCCCTCGCGTCGCGCACGTTCATTCCAAAGTGCGCGACCGTTTCAGGATGGATGGCGGCGCCTTTTCAGACCAGGGCCTTCGCATCGGTTCCGCGCATACTCGTCGCAAGACCCTGCAGCAGTTAAAGTTAGTCGGGCCTGTCCCTCTACAGGATGCATATTCCCAAATAGTCACAGAATAGTCTGGGGACGATTGTTTGACAATTTCTGACCATTTTAGGGTATGTGTTCTGTATGTTTTATTCTTCTCGTTCAGAATTCCCGTGTAGGGGGACATGCCCGACTTAAAGTTAAAGGGATGGAGCACAGGGCGATTTCAAAACGGGATTCCCGCCTTCGCGCCGCGCACATTCGTCGTACACACATGCAGCAGCCGTGCGCGCATGGAGGGCGATGCCGTTTCAAAGGTGTACTCTCGCTAGGAGCCCTCCCAGATCGAAAGGCCCAACGCCGCCACACAGAACGCGGAATTCTTCACGCTTCGCGTATCCGTCAGACCATCTCCTGGAGTGAGGATATATAGCAGCGGGCCACGGCGCGCCATTTTGGCACATGCTGTGGTAGCAGGGTTGGGACCTGTGCAGGGCACGCTCTTCAGTCAGTGTACCTAGTGGTGGTTCACTCCGTGCGTGTCGGTTGTCCGCCCCTGGCACCTTCCATCTCTTGTCGACGGAGTTATTCATTTGCGCCGTTGTGGTCTTCGATGAGCACCGGGTGCTCCGTGTGTGAGGGTTTTTTCTGCCTGTCTCGTCGCCACTCGCTCCGTTCACTCTGCCTGTAGGTGGCTCCCCTGCTGCCTACAGCTGCACTGGCCGTCGCGGCTGCATGGGCACTGGCCCCGTGCGTGCTGTGGTTGGCTAGTGGTCGCTGCTTGCGGGCGCCGTTTGGGCGGCTCCTCGCTTGCTCACGTTTCCGTCCGCCGCTCCCGCCGCCTTCGGCTGGTCTGGTCTCTGCTGCTGCACCGGTGCAGGCTGTGCGTGCCTCGCGGCCGGCTGTTTGTGTCTGTTTCTTCGCGAATTGGCGCCGTCAGGGCGGCTCCTCGCTGGCTTACGCCGGCCGTGGCCTTAATTGGTCCTTGCATGTGCACTCCGCGCGTTCTCGCGCCAATTATCTCGCGCTGTGCCCCAGCCTCGGTCCTTTCGCCCTCTGGACTTTTCCTTGCGGGCCGCTGATCAAAAAAGTATCCGTCGGTCGGGCTTGTCCTTCTACAGGAAGAATATTCCCAAATAGTCACAAAATAGTCCGGGGGCGATTTTTTGAACATGTTTTGACTATTTGGGGGCATGTGCGTGGCATTTGCTACTTCTCGTCCACAATCGGCCTGTCGGGGGACACGCCCGACCTAAGCGCATCCCCACCAGCCCCTTCAGCAGCCCTGCCCGTGAGAGCTGACGGGAAGAGACGAAGATACACATCTAGGGAAACAAAGCGAGCAACCAGGGTGGACCGAGGGAACGCTGGGAGACACATCTAGGGAAGCAGAGCGTGCAAGGAGGATAGAAAGGAGGAGAGCGCTGAGCCATCTTGGAGGCTGTCTTGGAGCATCGGAGGCCTTCTTGAAGCTACGCGGTTGTTTGGGGGGATAATGGAGTCCTCTTGGAATTATTTTGGGGCATATTGGAGCCCTCATAGGGCTCTTTGGGCGTCTTGGGGCCCTCTTGGGGCTCTTCTGGTGCGTTTTAGGGCCCTCTTGGGGCTCTTTGGGGGCTCTCTTGGCGTTCTCTTGGGACCCTCTTGGGAGCTATGGGGCGCCTCTTGGGGCCGTCTTGGAGACCATCGATCAAACGAGGGGGGTCCTCGATTTGCCCCCCCTCTGGGGCCATCAAGATCGTTTCCTGGGGTCCTCTTGGGGCGCTCTTGGGGCGATCTTGGGCGCTCTTGGGGCCGTGTTGGGAGCCTCTTGTACCCCTCTTGGAGCGTTCTTGGGCCATCTTGGGGCCATGCGGAGGCCTCAACAGCGCACCGGACGCGAAAAGGCGAGAAGGCAAACATCACTGATTGTTTTTAGGCGTTGAAGGATTTGGGCTTCTCGGGGGGGCCCGGGGGAGCCCTGAGAGCACCTGGCACCGTCTTGTGGCCCTCTTGGGGCCTCTTGGAAACATGTTGTGAGTTTTCTTGAGCCACGTTTTGCTATCTTGAGTGATCTTGGAGGCTATCTTGGGCTCTCTGAGGCCATTTTGGAGCCATCTTGACAGGAAAGGGGCCCTCTACCACCTCGCGCCCAGGTCCAGGGGAAAGGGGTCGGGGGAGGGGTCAAGACGCCCTCCCCCCCCCGAGCGTCTGGGAGAGCCCAAAATGACCTCCAAGATGGCTCAAGATATCCCAAGATGTCTCATAATGGCTTCCTCTGTGTGCTGCCCACTTCTCTGATCGAGGCAATTCCTCTGGGCATCGTTTCTGGATGGGCTGGTGGGGATTCGCGAAGCGACAACAATTTGGCTTCCAAGGTGACCGAAATGTCACCACCAACACCGAAATCTAGGTTCGTCTTCCCCCCTGTGGAGGCAACCCCCTGCGTTGGTGTTGATGCCCATTTCCAGGTTTCCAATGTCACCCGTTTCCCCTTCACACCCCGATCGTATATTTGCTCCTTGTTTCCCAATGCTGCCCCCTGCTTTTTCCTCCCACTCTCCTCCACAGTTGCACCGGATGAGTACTACTGCTCCCCATATTTTTCCCTGATCCCTTGGCGCTGTGAGAAAATACGGCATCGCATATCATGATGTACACTGGATGGGCCCGAGTTCTTTTCGACTTGCAATCAGCACTCTCCCCGCCTTTTCGTTCAGGGTGGCGCTCTCGCCCCTGCACGGGCCGCATGTCCGAGTCCGATTTCTTTCTCGTCGTTGCCGACCGCCTATGCACGGTCAGAGATTGGTGGACGCCACGTTCAGCCTTTTCCGCATCAAGAAATCCTACCAGAGGGAGAGCCACATGCAGGAGCTGTACAAAGTGATGTATGGCATCAGGTCGATGACAGACTTCAAGACGGCGTTGAGGCTCGACAAAGTCGCGGAGGCCGACGTAGTCAAGCTAGGCCAGCTCACGCCCCACATCCTCAGGGAAGCGTTGAACCACGCGTGGTTCCTCCAGAAGAGCGTGATGCCGATGGGCGCGGGGCCGAAGACGGAGCTGGAGAGGGGCTTGGAGGCCCAGCTGAAATCGCTCATCAAGCAAGGGACGATCACCAAGTACTGAGAAACCGATTTTCACAGACTGTGCGCGATATTGCGCACGACCCGAGGAGGCAGCAGACACTCACAGCGATGGCGGCAGGAGGGAGCGAGCATGCCAAGAGACTCTTGACACAAGTGAGAGAGTACAGGCAGGCGCTCCACAATCTGCTGCAATATGACAAGATTTCATGTGACGCCACCCCTGGTGGCAACGGCGCGCCTCCGTGAGAGGCAGCTCGCGCCGATCCCGATACTGAATATATTGGGGGAGGCGGCTTAGACTCAGGGGATCCCCCCCATCAGAGGGAAATCGCCCCGAGCCTTCGCACTCTCCCCCAAGTTACACTCGACTCCCTGGGGATCCTCCCCGCCGACGGGGCATCACGCGCGGGCGGGGCCCGCCGTGTCGCCTCATGCCGTGGCGGCCTGCGCCCTGCAGGCAACCCAGCCTCCATATAGAACGGAGGGGCCACCCGAGCAGCTGCAGAGACAGACTGAGGGCCCCCAACTGAGCCACCACCACCACCACCTCTTCCTCCCTCCTCATCCCTCCTCGTCCTCATAATCTCCCCCCTGCTCATCTTCATGTTCATCCGCCGCACCCTCCAATTTATGTACACAGGTCCCTTTTTGTCAGTGCTCATCACACGGTGAGGCCACTTTGTGACTCCTGGTCCGCGGCGACATCCAGCGGCGGATTGAGAAAAATCAGAGCGCTGAGAAGGCGCAGGCGGTCATCGAGAATAGAAGAACCCCTGACCGTAATAACACAGTGAGGACGTGGCCTCACGGAGGCCCGTCTTTGCATTGGGGGTAATATAATTCTGGGCCGGTTGGTTCGACACGTCTGCAGAACGGAGCCCCATGCCCCTCCTGTGCTTGGCCCTCCTAGCTCAGGCCCCCTCCCAAAAGACGAGGGGTGCTTTTTGTGGTTTTTCAGGCGGGGGGGGGGGGGCAGGGGGTCGGACGCGGCGCGAACGCCCCGAGCGCGCCATTCTCCCCCTCCCCCTCTCGCCACCATCGGGGGGAGACTCACCGGGGTACTCTGCGAGCAGCGCAGAGGACCCGAGGGCACCCCGTGCGCCACCCGTCTCTGGGGCGCGCGCCTCCTCCTCCCAGCTGCGAGCCCGCCGTTTCCAGCGGCACTTGCAGGCAGAGGCCCGCGCCAAGGGCCGACCGACGTGCCCTGGGTTTCTCGGGCCGACCGACGTGGGTACGGAAAGAGTGGGTACAATGCCCAGCAGCAGTTCCTGCTCATTTTGAACAGGACTCGCTGCCCGCGCCGCCGCGACGCGTGTCTATTTGAGACAGAAGGCCGCTTGCCCAACAGCGGCCGCCGTTGGTTTGTGACAACATTTCTTGTTGGGCATTGTGCCCATTTTTCCGTACCATTTCGGGCGTCCAAAGTTTCGTCAGCTTCGACGGTTTTGCGATGGAAGGCGAGACGCTGCCACACCAGAAATCAATGGACGTCCTTGGGCCTCAGGGTTTGGTTCCCTGCGGAGGGTGTCCCGTGGTCGGGACCCTGGTGTACGATGGTGTGCGTTTTCCAGGCGCCGTCCTGTGCATCGCCAGACGCCTAAGGGCACTAGCGGGCGACTGGAGTTTTTCGCAGACAGCGTGCACCCCATAGCTTTACAACATAGCTTGCGCAGCATAGCTCGCACCACGTATCTTAGACACCCACGGTGGAACAGCGTACTGTTTGGAGTCTCCGTTGGCCAACACTCGTTGCACCAAGTGTTGCAACAGCTTCGAGGATGTACTGGGGTCTTTCCGAAAATGCGGTTCTCGCCCTCGCGTCGCGCACGTTCATTCCAAAGTGCGCGACCGTTTCAGGATGGATGGCGGCGCCTTTTCAGACCAGGGCCTTCGCATCGGTTCCGCGCATACTCGTCGCAAGACCCTGCAGCAGTTAAAGTTAGTCGGGCCTGTCCCTCTACAGGATGCATATTCCCAAATAGTCACAGAATAGTCTGGGGACGATTGTTTGACAATTTCTGACCATTTTAGGGTATGTGTTCTGTATGTTTTATTCTTCTCGTTCAGAATTCCCGTGTAGGGGGACATGCCCGACTTAAAGTTAAAGGGATGGAGCACAGGGCGATTTCAAAACGGGATTCCCGCCTTCGCGCCGCGCACATTCGTCGTACACACATGCAGCAGCCGTGCGCGCATGGAGGGCGATGCCGTTTCAAAGGTGTACTCTCGCTAGGAGCCCTCCCAGATCGAAAGGCCCAACGCCGCCACACAGAACGCGGAATTCTTCACGCTTCGCGTATCCGTCAGACCATCTCCTGGAGTGAGGATATATAGCAGCGGGCCACGGCGCGCCATTTTGGCACATGCTGTGGTAGCAGGGTTGGGACCTGTGCAGGGCACGCTCTTCAGTCAGTGTACCTAGTGGTGGTTCACTCCGTGCGTGTCGGTTGTCCGCCCCTGGCACCTTCCATCTCTTGTCGACGGAGTTATTCATTTGCGCCGTTGTGGTCTTCGATGAGCACCGGGTGCTCCGTGTGTGAGGGTTTTTTCTGCCTGTCTCGTCGCCACTCGCTCCGTTCACTCTGCCTGTAGGTGGCTCCCCTGCTGCCTACAGCTGCACTGGCCGTCGCGGCTGCATGGGCACTGGCCCCGTGCGTGCTGTGGTTGGCTAGTGGTCGCTGCTTGCGGGCGCCGTTTGGGCGGCTCCTCGCTTGCTCACGTTTCCGTCCGCCGCTCCCGCCGCCTTCGGCTGGTCTGGTCTCTGCTGCTGCACCGGTGCAGGCTGTGCGTGCCTCGCGGCCGGCTGTTTGTGTCTGTTTCTTCGCGAATTGGCGCCGTCAGGGCGGCTCCTCGCTGGCTTACGCCGGCCGTGGCCTTAATTGGTCCTTGCATGTGCACTCCGCGCGTTCTCGCGCCAATTATCTCGCGCTGTGCCCCAGCCTCGGTCCTTTCGCCCTCTGGACTTTTCCTTGCGGGCCGCTGATCAAAAAAGTATCCGTCGGTCGGGCTTGTCCTTCTACAGGAAGAATATTCCCAAATAGTCACAAAATAGTCCGGGGGCGATTTTTTGAACATGTTTTGACGGGCCTGCTGATCTAAACACATGTGGCTGGGAGACACATCTTGCTACTGAGAGTCTTGGAGGCTGTCTTGGAGCAAGCTCTTGAAGCTTGGAGTCTTTTGGGGCATATTGGAGCCCTCATAGGGCTCTTTGGGCGTCTTGGGGCCCTCTTGGGGCTCTTCTGGTGCGTTTTAGGGCCCTCTTGGGGCTCTTTGGGGGCTCTCTTGGCGTTCTCTTGGGACCCTCTTGGGAGCTATGGGGCGCCTCTTGGGGCCGTCTTGGAGACCATCGATCAAACGAGGGGGGTCCTCGATTTGCCCCCCCTCTGGGGCCATCAAGATCGTTTCCTGGGGTCCTCTTGGGGCGCTCTTGGGGCGATCTTGGGCGCTCTTGGGGCCGTGTTGGGAGCCTCTTGTACCCCTCTTGGAGCGTTCTTGGGCCATCTTGGGGCCATGCGGAGGCCTCAACAGCGCACCGGACGCGAAAAGGCGAGAAGGCAAACATCACTGATTGTTTTTAGGCGTTGAAGGATTTGGGCTTCTCGGGGGGGCCCGGGGGAGCCCTGAGAGCACCTGGCACCGTCTTGTGGCCCTCTTGGGGCCTCTTGGAAACATGTTGTGAGTTTTCTTGAGCCACGTTTTGCTATCTTGAGTGATCTTGGAGGCTATCTTGGGCTCTCTGAGGCCATTTTGGAGCCATCTTGACAGGAAAGGGGCCCTCTACCACCTCGCGCCCAGGTCCAGGGGAAAGGGGTCGGGGGAGGGGTCAAGACGCCCTCCCCCCCCCGAGCGTCTGGGAGAGCCCAAAATGACCTCCAAGATGGCTCAAGATATCCCAAGATGTCTCATAATGGCTTCCTCTGTGTGCTGCCCACTTCTCTGATCGAGGCAATTCCTCTGGGCATCGTTTCTGGATGGGCTGGTGGGGATTCGCGAAGCGACAACAATTTGGCTTCCAAGGTGACCGAAATGTCACCACCAACACCGAAATCTAGGTTCGTCTTCCCCCCTGTGGAGGCAACCCCCTGCGTTGGTGTTGATGCCCATTTCCAGGTTTCCAATGTCACCCGTTTCCCCTTCACACCCCGATCGTATATTTGCTCCTTGTTTCCCAATGCTGCCCCCTGCTTTTTCCTCCCACTCTCCTCCACAGTTGCACCGGATGAGTACTACTGCTCCCCATATTTTTCCCTGATCCCTTGGCGCTGTGAGAAAATACGGCATCGCATATCATGATGTACACTGGATGGGCCCGAGTTCTTTTCGACTTGCAATCAGCACTCTCCCCGCCTTTTCGTTCAGGGTGGCGCTCTCGCCCCTGCACGGGCCGCATGTCCGAGTCCGATTTCTTTCTCGTCGTTGCCGACCGCCTATGCACGGTCAGAGATTGGTGGACGCCACGTTCAGCCTTTTCCGCATCAAGAAATCCTACCAGAGGGAGAGCCACATGCAGGAGCTGTACAAAGTGATGTATGGCATCAGGTCGATGACAGACTTCAAGACGGCGTTGAGGCTCGACAAAGTCGCGGAGGCCGACGTAGTCAAGCTAGGCCAGCTCACGCCCCACATCCTCAGGGAAGCGTTGAACCACGCGTGGTTCCTCCAGAAGAGCGTGATGCCGATGGGCGCGGGGCCGAAGACGGAGCTGGAGAGGGGCTTGGAGGCCCAGCTGAAATCGCTCATCAAGCAAGGGACGATCACCAAGTACTGAGAAACCGATTTTCACAGACTGTGCGCGATATTGCGCACGACCCGAGGAGGCAGCAGACACTCACAGCGATGGCGGCAGGAGGGAGCGAGCATGCCAAGAGACTCTTGACACAAGTGAGAGAGTACAGGCAGGCGCTCCACAATCTGCTGCAATATGACAAGATTTCATGTGACGCCACCCCTGGTGGCAACGGCGCGCCTCCGTGAGAGGCAGCTCGCGCCGATCCCGATACTGAATATATTGGGGGAGGCGGCTTAGACTCAGGGGATCCCCCCCATCAGAGGGAAATCGCCCCGAGCCTTCGCACTCTCCCCCAAGTTACACTCGACTCCCTGGGGATCCTCCCCGCCGACGGGGCATCACGCGCGGGCGGGGCCCGCCGTGTCGCCTCATGCCGTGGCGGCCTGCGCCCTGCAGGCAACCCAGCCTCCATATAGAACGGAGGGGCCACCCGAGCAGCTGCAGAGACAGACTGAGGGCCCCCAACTGAGCCACCACCACCACCACCTCTTCCTCCCTCCTCATCCCTCCTCGTCCTCATAATCTCCCCCCTGCTCATCTTCATGTTCATCCGCCGCACCCTCCAATTTATGTACACAGGTCCCTTTTTGTCAGTGCTCATCACACGGTGAGGCCACTTTGTGACTCCTGGTCCGCGGCGACATCCAGCGGCGGATTGAGAAAAATCAGAGCGCTGAGAAGGCGCAGGCGGTCATCGAGAATAGAAGAACCCCTGACCGTAATAACACAGTGAGGACGTGGCCTCACGGAGGCCCGTCTTTGCATTGGGGGTAATATAATTC